CTGTTCTAGGTCAGCCTCACAAAGCATCACCCACAGGCTCACAGGATGGAAGCAGCATCCTGAAACCACAGCTCAGCCGGGGCCAAGAGGGAATGAACAGGGTGGGTCACACATAAAACAGAGGAAAAACAACACCTGGGAAGTGTTTTTGCCAAAACCAAAGTGGGGGCTGCAGTCATCTTCAGACTGCCCAGACAGGGGCTGAGGTGGAGGCTGAATCCCTGATTCAGGGACTTGGGGTTCAGTGAGCAGATGGTGGGAAATGCAGGATCTGAAGTGGCAGGGCTCCAAGGGAACCAGGTGGCAATGCAGTGCTGCCCTGAGTCACAGAGTCATGGAAGCATAGAATCATAGACCATAGAATCATGGAATTGTGAAATCACAGAATTATAGAATTGCTTAAGTTGGAAAAGTCCCCTAAAAGCACCAATGGTTCTCCCAGCACTGCCAAGCCCAACCCTAAACCAAAAATCAAGAATTAAAATCAAGAAAGCCTTAACAAAAGGCTTAAACATCTCCTTTTCTTTCTCCATCCAACACCAAAACCCTTGATTTTGCAGTTTTGAAAACATTGTTTTTCTTTAACTCCTACCAAAGTGGCCTTGAATTGCTCTGGTTTGCCACATCTCCGTCCCTAAGTGCCACATCCACACACTTTTTGAGCCCTCCCAAGGATGGGAGGGAAGGGACAGTGGCTCTCACCCAGGAGTGATCCTTGCTGGCAGAACAAAGATGAGACCAAGGAGCATCAGCAACACCAAAGGAAGACCCACAAAGCCCTGAGGACCTTGGGAAAAGGAGGGACAGTGGGAGCCTGGGCTGGTTATAGTGGCTGTGTCCCCACTGTCAGGGCCTGGGAGCAGTTTGCGGGGAGCAGAGCTGAGTTTGAGTGTCCCACTGGGGCTGTGCAGCAAATTCCAGGCCAGATCCCAGAGATGTGCTGCTCCATCTCAGTGACATCCATGCCCCATGCTGGGCCACCACCAGCCAGCTGAGGGAAGGAACAAATTGGCAGCATTCAGAGGAATACTCTGTAGGCACAGAGTTTGTGGTGTTTGGGAGTGGGGCTGAGCCCCAATGGGCACAGCTGTGAGCAGCAGGTGAGCAGCACTGACAGCAATGAGCCATGGAGTGCCCGGGGGCACTGAGCAACCACCAAAGGGAACAGAGGGCACACAGGTGCAGTGCATCAACAGGAGGGGATAAAGGGTTGGGCTAAAGAACAAGAAGGGCCAATGCTTGCAGCCTTCTGATGAGGTAAGGTGTTACTCTGTATGGGTTGAAGCCTTCTGAAATTGTGTGGTGATACTCTGTGTATTGTGGCTGTCTCTACTTGCAACAACATTCTTCATTTCCAAGCATATAATTTGCAAAATAACATCCCCCCTCAGCTTTTGTATTTTGTCAGACTGAACCCAAGGTGGGAAAGGGAAGAAACTGGAGACCATTTTGCCTTGGAGAGCTGGGGGGATTTCAGCAGCAGAGAGCCTGTGGGGGCAGATTGAGGCTCCCCTGTCTGCCTCCAGAGCTGGAGGGAAGGGATGGGCCAGCCAGGACAGGTCAAGGAGCAGGAGAAAGGACCAGGCTGTCCTGGAATCCACTGGGAATGACCAGCTCTGAGGAGGATGATCTTCCCTCCTTCAACATAGTGCTATCTCCCACCATCACCCCATCCCATCCAGACCCACTTTCCCCAGCAGCTGGAGAAAAACTTTGGAGAAGAGTGGTGCAGGAAGGAAAAGAGGGAAAAATTACAGCAGGTCCTGGGGCACCAAGGGGATGGAAATGAAGGTGACTTCAAAATTTCCAAACCAGCCTGTGTCAGGCAGGCTGAGGAGGGGGGACAGACAGACAGACACCTGCCTGGAGGTCTCTGCTTCCAGAAGTCCTGACACACCCACCGGATTAAGGATGATGGAGGAGAGGAATGACTTATACCAATTAATTCCCAAAGTGTAATTAACATCTGGGCCTGCTCCATGTGATCCCCAGCTGCTAATGAAGCATAGCACCGCTTTAATTCCTGCTACGCCGCACCATCTTCTCATTAAATCCAGGAGCAGGTTCCATCACATTTCCCTTAGAGGGAAAAAGGGAGAGACAGAGAAATGGAGCAGGATTTGTCTCAATGAAATATGATAGATTAGAATTTGCTGGATAAAGAAAGTAGGGATGGGGGGGAGGGCATGGAATGGGAAATTTCGTAGGTGTGTGCACGCGGGCATCTGAAAATTCTCTCTCCCCATGACCTCCTTACACCCCATCCATCAGCCTGGGGTTGGCTTATTCCAAGCAGCAGAGCCTTTGCTGGTGTCTAACAGGCCCACCGGACACAATCTGCATGCCAATTACTGGAGCAGACCCCCTGATACTGGGGAATGGAAATTAGCTGTCAAGGAAAACCCGGCATCAGCACGACTGCGCTCCCCGCTCATCTCCACAGGCACCCTGCTCTGCTGTGGCAGGGGAAAAATGGAAAAAGTCATCTGGAATCACAATAAAATAAAAACTAATGGTAAAAAAACCACCCAAGTAGCAGTTTATTGTTATTTGTGTCGGTTGCAAATGTTGAGGACACAACGTCCACCCAAGGGCAAGAGCCTGTGTCACTGTGATATTAAGAAAAATCCCTTTGCCAGGATTTCTTCTCCTGGCAAGGTGAGAAGCCTCAGCTTTTCCACGTTTTGCTCCTCTGGAATGTGATTTGGAGAATTGTTTACCCAGCATGTGAATTGTTTTAATTTAATGACCAATCCCAGTCCAGTTGTGCCAGGACTCTGGTCAGTCACAAGTTTTTATTAATCATTCTTGTCTAAGCTTCTGATGTATCCTTTCTCTTTCTTTAGTATAATTTCAATATATTATTTCTTTTCATATAATATCATAAAATAATAAATCAGCCTTCTGGGAACTTGGAGTCAAATTCTCATCTCTCATCTCATCCTGGGGACCCACAACACCCAAACAAGCCTGGAGGACAAGGAGAAGGAGGGAAGACTTGGGATAGTTGGGTTTTAAAAGTGGGGAGATCAGCAGTGAAAGGGGAGGACATGGGAAAATGTTACCTTAAGGGCAAACCAGCTCCAGGTCTGGCTCATGCAGTGCTCTGGGGTGGATGCATACAGCAGCCACAGAGTTGGAGTATCCCAAACCCATCCAGTGCAGGGCATGTGGGATGGGGACAGGGGGACATTCCCCAAAATCAGGGTGGGAGGTAGTTAGAAATGCACTGGGTGGAGCTCACCCACCTACAGATTTTCCATTCACAACAGGGACAGCAACAGGCTCACTGTGAAAAAAATACCAGGAGCCAGGCTGTGCTCAAGCTGCTGCCCTTGGAGAGCTTTGCCAGGGGGAAAAGGGAACCTGGAGCTGAGGGCTGATCCTGGAGAAATGTTATGGGGAAAAATACAGTGAAAGCCAACTGTGTTGCTAGATAATCTGCATCCTTCTGATCCATGATGGAGAGGAGTGGAGGAAAGATGGAAGTGGGTGAAGATGCATCAACATTTGCAGGGAAAGGCTGGAGTAGGGTATGGTGCTAAGGGAGGAGGTGACAGCGGGGAGAGGAGGAAGAGGAAGAAGGGGAAGGCAACCCCTCAGCTCATCTTTGTGCTGGGGAAGTCCAGGGGGCTGGAATTGCCAGCTCCTTCCCATTCCCCACCGGCAGCAGCTTTTCCAGGAGGTGGCAGCCCCGTGGCTTGGCGAGCGTCCCTTCCCCTGGCTCCCTGCTTTGTAATAGCCTCATACATCAAGGGGAAGAAACTGCAGAGCATGGCTGGGAGGGCTCTGCTTCCACCTCCAACCTCATTGTCCCAAAGCCCCTCAGATCCACGTGCAAACAGGCTGCAGCTCCCAGGTTTCCCAGGGGAAGAATCCCCAGCCATCACGGGAGGCTGTGCCTGGGACCTGCCTCTCCTCTGGTAGCACTGGGCAAAATGGGATGTTCCTGGTGGCACACTGGGCTAACTGGGAGCCCCCTCTACTCCCTGCACATCTCAGGTGTCCAGGGAGCTCTCCCTGCCCTTCAGCAGCCACCTCCCAGAGGCACTCACTGCCTCTGTCCCACACCCAGCCTGCTCTCCTGGATCCAGCTCTCAGCTCCATGTGGTGCCCAGCCCCAGTTTAAGCAGCTGAATGCTTGGCTCACACCTCCAGGGGACATCCTGTACCTGGCAAGCTGGGCTGCCAGTGTCCCCAGCATTCCCCATGGAGATTATGGCTGTCCCCTTCCTGCTCCATCTGGGATCTCAATTTTTACCCAGTCCTGGGAGGACAAATCCATCCAGGACCAGGACAGCAGCTGGCTGCTCAGGGTGTCCAGGAGGACACATGGCGCTGACAAAAACCTCATCCCTTCTCCCAAGCCACCATGGAGCAGCAACAGAGCAGGCAAGGACTCCACAGGAACATGATAGATTGAGCCACCCGCAGCCACCACCGACAACTGGAACCCAGGGATGTGTGGTGCCACCACTCCACCGGGATGGCCAAACACTGGAGCACAAACTCCAGCTCAGGGATGCCTTCTTCCTAAAGGATCAGAGGGGCAGGGGATGGGGAAGGGGGTGACAATCAGGCAGAGAAGGCTCTGCTCCACTGGGATCAGAAGGGCAGGGGATGGGGAAGGGGGTGACAGTGAGGCAGGGAAGGTTCTACTCCACCCCAGCTCCCCCCGGGATCAGAAGAGCAGGGGTTGGGGAAGGTGACAATCAGGCAGGGAAGGCCCTGCTCCACCCCAGCTCCCTCGGGATCATAGGGACAGGGGATGGAGAAGGTGACAATGAGGCAGGGAAGGTTTGTTCCACCCCAGCTCCCCCGGGCTCAGAAGGGCAGGGAATGGGGAAGGGGGTGACAATGAGGCAGGGAAGGCTCCGCTCCACCCCAGCTCCCCAAGGCAGGACACGTCGCACCCAAATCCCAAGAATAAGCAGGACAAGGCGGAGCTGAGCGACTCAGTTGCTTTATTGGGGGCTGTAGCAGCCCAGCACGGGGCTGGCTCACTCGGAGATGCTGCGGAAGGACTGGACGGCGGGGCTGGCCGCGCCCCACTCCACGGGCTTGCGGTACTCCCCCTTGGGCAGCACGTACTGCCGGCCCCGGTAGTTGGGGTGCTCGTAGAACACCCAGACGCCCTCCAGCACCCTGCAGGCGTGCACCTCACGCATGTGCCACTCCTCCATGATGGAGGGGCAGTCTTCGGTGGCTTCGAACATCTGCCCGCCAAAATCTCCCTTCTCAAACACCTGGATGTGGCCTCGGCCTCCACTTGGCTAGAAAAAAAAAATAAAAGGGTGGGGGAAGAGAAAATTATAGAGTTTGGGTTGGAAGGGATTTAAAGATGATCCAGTTCTACCTCCCTGCCCTGTGGGTGGGTGTCGCAGACAACTTTCATGAAAAATCCTTTCCTTAGGATTTTTCCTCCTGAGAAGCTGAGAGGCCTCAGAAATGAAATGTAAACAATGGTTATCTGCTGCTGTGGAATGCAACAGGTGAATCTGTGATTGGTCTCATGTGGTTGTTTCTAATTAATGGCCAATCACAGTCAGCTGTATCAGACTCTCTGGTCAGTAACAAGATTTTATTATCACTCCATTCCCTTCCTTTCAAGCCTTCTGATTAAATCCTTTCTTCTATTCTTTTAGTAAAGTTTTAATATAATATCTATATCATAAAATAATAAGTCAGCCTTCTGAAACATGGAGTCAAGGTTCTCATCTCTTCCCTCGTCCTGGGGCCCCTGTGAGCACCACCACAGATCTGCCTTTCCCCACTGCAATCCAACTGGGACACACTCACCTTCTCCCCCACACCAGACACCTTGCTACTCCCAGAGCAGGACTGCGGGACCAAATCCTTTCAGCCCACCCTCTGTGGCTCCCCAGAAAGATGAACACCACGTTCCCCCACATGAAACCCTCCCAGGATGGGATAAATGGCAGCATCCCCTGGCGAGGGGTGATACCTACAATCTGGATGTACTTGCAGGAGCCCAGGCGGTCGTTGAGGCCCATCCAGTGGTGGTAGTCGGGGTACTCCCCGTGGGTCAGCACGTACATGTTCCCAGCATAGTTGGGCCTCTCGTAGGCCACCCAGGTGCCTCCATCCACACGGATGGAGTTGCAGCGGCTCAGGTAGCTGTGGAAATCAGGGCAGTCGCTGTCACACTCGTAGTAACGGCCCAGGAAGTTCTTGTCTTCATAGAAGGTGACCTGAAACGAGCAGAGGGGGCAGAGAGGGGAGGTTCCTCATCCAGAACATCTCCATATTCCAGCCACATCATGGCAGGAAATATCTGAAAGCAGAGCCCTCGAGTGTGGCATTCCCATTCTCTGAAAAATCACCCAGGATTTTTCTCCCGGGAAGCTGAGAAGCCTCAGAGAAAAGGAAAACAATTTTTATCTCATTTGATTCTCCTGTGTTTTGCTCATGTGGAATGTATTTGGAGATTGTTAACCCACAGATGATTGTTCCATTGGATTCTGCTGTGAGTTATTTTCACACTTTGGCCAATCAGGGCGAAACTGTGTAGTGACTTGTGACTCTGGAAAGAGTCACAAGTTTTCATTATCTTTTTAGCATTTTGTAAGTATCCTTTCTGTATACTTTAGTATAGTTTAGTTTAGTATTCTTCAATATAATATAGCACCATAAAATAATAAATTAATCTTCTGAGAACATGGAGTCAGATTCATCATTCCTCCCTTCATTTGGGCACCCCACAAATACAATACTCAAGATATCAGAAATTATCAAGCCCAGCCTTGGAACGGGACCAACTGCAGTCAGACAGACTAATTCACCTGTCTGGCCTCAATGCCTCCAGCTGCTACCACTGTTCTGCCCTTCCCAGACCTTTGTTCTCTCCCAGTCCAACACAACACTCCCACAGAGAAGTCTCTATCCTTTTTCCAACAAAACACCATCAAAGCAATTCCCTCCCACCCTCTCTAGATCAGGAGTTACTAAATTATGGCTGGAGAGCTGTGAGAAGTCAATGGAATTTACAAAGTAGGTTTCTGGGGACATGGGTGAGTCTGGCAGCACTGGGTTAGCAGTTGGACTTGATGCCTTTAGAGAGCTTTTCTAGCCTTAACAATTCTATTATTTCCTTTATGTTTTCTTACCAAGTGTTTGCAGTGAGATCTTTACTGATCTGAAGGGGGTCAAGAAGTCTCTTTCCTTCCAGGTCATGTCTTCTAGCCCGTCCTTGTTCCCACTTGAACAACCCAAAACTTCCTTTCTCAAAACTCACTGCCCAAAGCTGAACACAGCTTTGCCCATGCCAGGAGAAACTAAGGGAGCATTCCATGTTCATGGTTGGTAGCAGTTTTAAGGATATCCAAGGATTGTATTTGCAGTTGGCCCGTTCTGCTTTGGTTGCCGCAAGTCAATGAAACCTCTGACAAATTCAAGATCCATCCCCACATTTCTTTCCCAAGAGCTGCTCTATAGCTGGGGTGCTGACCCCAAAGCACTTTATCCTTGAAAACAACCTGGCTTGAGATGATCTTGGGAGCTGATGAGTGAATTCCATTCCTCCCACCTGAGGCATCACCCACACAGCCAGCCCTGGAGAGGAGACCCAGTTTTCCTCAAAAATCCCTTCATGGAAATATTGCCAAGCCCTAGACCAGACCAGTCCTTTCTCCAGCCCCATTTTTAGATCCTTCCAGGTGACAATTACTCATCAAACTTTGCTCTTCTCCAAAAGGATTCCCAAACCATCCCATCTATCTTGACTACACCCCTCGCTTGCTCACAACACCAGATGATCTAGAGAGAATCCTTCTGGCCACACCCAACATGCAGTGGTCCACAATCCATTTTTCCCAGTTTTTTTTTCCATAGTGTGATTATTAAGACACATCCCCACCTGCAGTACTTCACCTACAGTGCTTTGGCTACTGGTATGAATGTAACCTCCCTGCTCTTCAAAAATCATTCATTGTCAGTGTTTCAACACAAATCCAGGACAACTCTCTCATTTTTTTTTTAATCATTTGTTTTGTGCTAAAAATTAAATTAGCCAGAGTTTTCCTGGAGCTGGCTGGTCAGCGTGTCCCACCAGCCTGACCAAGGGATCTGGGGAGTCAGACTGGTCAAGCCAGACGATTCATGCTCTTGATTTTGTGGCCTGTTACTAAACATTTATTAGGATAATGTTATTTTCCTCTTGATTTCAAGCACTGGTTTGCCATCACAAAGAATTTCATGCACACAAAACAACCTGTCCCCGAACATCCTGAGCAAGTTCTTCCCACTTTCAGTGGAGAGCTGGGAATCCCTCTGACATTTCCAGCAGTGAATGAGGGCTGTGAAAGGAGAGCACTGAAATGCCCAGCTCCTGTTTTCCCACTCTTGAGCAGTTAACCACACTGGCCAGGTCTTCCTGGCCACAACTCACTGCCTTTTCCACATGCTGCTTCTAGATCATTGTCCCTAAAGGTATCACCCAAAAAATCTGCCAGCCTGACCCAAAGGCAGCACCGAAAGCTCTGCTCACTGGGTTTGGCAGTCATGCATTGCCAGTCACCCTCTTCTTGAAGCCAGTGTTCAAGGAAGCCACAGCAGCCCTGGAAAAGCCTCTGCAGGGATTCATTTATTCCCAGTTCAGCATTATTCTCTGCTGGGATAGCTGATCCCTCTCTCCAATATCAGTCCCAAGCACTGATCCTGTCCCACTCCTGCCCCATATGGTTGATGATGATGAACTCTGCCCAGTGTGGATCTGCTTTCTGGGCAGAGGGAACCTGGATGAGTTCAAGGCCAGCTTGGATGGAACTTGCAGCAGCCTGAGATAGTGGAAGATGTCCCTGCCCATGGAAGGGAGTGGAACTGGATGGGCTTTAAGGTCCTTTCCAACCCAAACTGTTCTGGGATTCAGTGATGTTCCTTCCCCACCCAGCCTCACACAACCAAACTGGAGCCTGATGTTTCCAGGGGGGAATTTTCCCTATATTTACAAAACCACAAAGCCAAAGAAACCCAAAGGCTTGGATATATATACACATTAAGGATATGGCTGTTCCTAAGTCCAACCTAAGTGCTGCTCCCTGGTTTAATTTCAGAATTTAAGGGATCCTCCTCTCCCGTTCTCCAGCACAGCCCTTCAGACACACCCTCAGCTCCTTTCAGACCTTTGCTTCCCAGCTTTCCTGCATGGATTCAGGCTGATGTTTTCACCCATAGACTAATTACAGATTCCAATTCCAGATTTGCAGCTTTGTTTCTGTCCCCTTTCACTCGCAGGGAAATCGCTTTCCTTCAGCCAAACCCTGCAGGAGCTCTGTTCCAGCACTCCCCTGTTAACTTCTCCATGTCCAAACTTTGCCTTTTGGGGGTTACCAAGCACATACCACATTTGTGAGAGCAGATCTTGTTTGCAGGAATGTAAAACTCTCACTTTGGTCACCTCACCTGAGTTATCACATATTTCTTTTCAACAGTAGCTTAGCTAGAAGGAAAATCATAAAAAATATCAAATTTTTACTCATAAAAAAGTATCCAACTCATAAAAAACATTCACTCCTCTATCAGGAGTGATCCCTTTCCAGGGCCGATCACTCACCGGGGCTGTGAGAAATGGTGTTTAATTCCCTGTTTTGCCCTTTTCTTCTCCCTGGAATGTGCTAAACAGGAGTACAGCATAGAGAACTAGGAGATAACTCCTTCTGGCCATCTTGCTGCCCCCCAGCAGTACATATTCCATAAATTTCCTGTGGCACACTCTGAGGGGACACGGCTTGCGGCTGGGGAAAGGCTCAAGGCTTTCCAAGTTGAGAGGAGACTCAAGGATGGAGCAGTTGCAGTTCCCCAGTACCTTTTTTAGGTTTATGTACAGAAAGTTTGCACCCCAGGATCCAGGAGCCACCAACACACCCTCCTCGGCTTCCCAGCCCAACAGCCTGAGAGCCACAGAGCCGAAGGACACAGAAAAGCCGGGGCCAGAGATGCCAAACCCACTGTGCTTCCAAAGCCCCTTGGGTCTCACAGCCTCCACAGGCTGAAAGGAAACCAGCCCAAAAGCTAAACTCAGATGAAGCTCTTCCCACAGCTTCCTAGTGTTTGGTATTCCATAGGGGACACTGGCCCAAGTCCCCACCCTCCTTTCCTTTCCCAGCTGTTTCTCCCTGCCCAGACCCAGTACAAGTTCTGTGGGATCAGCCAGCTCAGCTCTGCTAAACCCAAGCCTGAGGAGCTGGATCCCCACCTGAGATGTCTCTCCAGCTGAAGCTGAGCTTCCCAGCCTAACTCCTCTGATTTCAGTTCATCCCTGCCGATTGCACCGAATCCCAAGGCCGGTGTGCATCATCCCTCAGGGAACACTGTTCCCTTCTGTGCCATGGCCATCCATGGAGCCTTTCTGTCTCAGCACACCCTCTGCTCCACCATGGAAAAGGGATGTGGCAGCTCTGTTGGTGCTGGCAGTCACATTCTCTCCAAGGGACCTTTCCATGAGACCCCGCTCTGGAGGTGCAGTGATTCCCAGCTGGCATTGCCCCTCCGCCCCCAATTCACAAGGCATCAGACCCTGCTGATTCAGAACCATTTCAAAATGCTTCTCACCAGTCACTGTGCCTGACTCCATCCTCTGGCAGAGCCACACCTAGAGGAACCAGCCAAAATCTGGGAAAATACTTGGGAGGGCTCAGCTCCAGCTTCCCTCCACGTGAGGAGGGATTTCAAGCATCTCCCCCTGCCCACACACTGACAGAGGAGAAAGCTGTCAGCAGAACAAAAAAAACAAAGTTTCTCGAAAATTCATCCCTGCAAAATTCTGCACTTTTAGCCAAAATCATGAATATACACTGCAAACAAACCTACCTTGGTTCCAGCTCTGGACATTTTCTGTTCCAGCCAAGCTCCCCTGTGCCGGAGGAACGTCAGCAGCTGTTACAAACAGCCAGGATCCGAGGTGCCCTTTTTATAACGGGCTTGTTTTAAACCAGACAGCCGCTTTGTCATGAGAATAGGATCCAAAAATTGAGTCAGTGATTCTGAGGCTATAGCCGATTTCCAGAAAAGCAAACAGGATTATGGAATAAAGGAAGGCTTCGCCATCCTCCCTTTGTTACCATTTGCTGAGTCAGAACACCAAAACTCTGCCAAATGCACTCAAAACACGCAGCCCCCTGCCAGGGACAAGTGGTCATTTGGCTGCTCCCTCCCTTCCAAGCTTGTTAAACAAGAAGGAATCCTCGTTGGCTCTTGGAGACCCACCCCATTTGTAAGGAGGGCACATGGTATTCATCAGGAAATGTTCTGGTGCAGTGAAGGATGCAGTTAAGGAACAACAAACAAGTGCTCAGGGCAGACACTAGAGGATTGCAAAGACCAGCTGTGCATTGAAAGCTCTCAATGGAGACATCTGTGCAGCAAAGAGGCTGCAGAATTTCCTGGGACACCCTCAGCTGGAGCCACACCGCTCCAAACACCTCCTGACATAGAGGGAAAGAAGGAAGTGTGGCCACCTCCCCACTCCCCACAAAGTGAGTGATTTCACACATCAAACGATGCCCAGATTTCTGTTGTCTCTTCAAGTGTCACAAATTGAACCCCAACTCTCAGCCCAGCACCTGAGGTTGGAGCAGAGGAGTTTTCCCTTCGGCCACACTCTGGCCCTGGGAGCAGGCAGGCCGAGGATCACTGGCTTCCACAGCCACCCCCCCGGCAGTGCATTATGAAAAACCACCTCTGCAGCTATTCAGTGCCCCAGCCCAAAGGCTTAGCGAGACAAAGGGACACGAATTTGGCACAGCAGCGCCCGAAACACGCAGCCCCTCTTTCAAATCTGTCAGGACAAGCACTCTCGCAACAGCAGCTCTGTAAATGCAGGCAGATGGGAGAGCCTGGGGCACACACAATCAGCAGCTGCTCCTCTTCGCATTTTAGGAGCCTTGAATCACCCAGAGCTGTTGCTCTCACTGAGGCCACTTGGACTGATTTAGTTTTTAACTCCTGAAGATCACAGTTCAAGCACAAGGTGGGTTCTATCAGCAGGTTCACAGCTCAAAGCTGTGGTCACTTCACACATCCCTCCTTTAGAGTTTGGTTAAATATAATAAATCATCTTAAATAAATAGAATAAATATAATGAACTCACCTCACCTGCCTGCCCAGGAGACCTTCAGAGGAACTCTGAGGCTGTGCACTCAAGAGCACTGTGCCTTCCCCTCACTCAGCTTGGAGAGCTCTTCCCAAGGCACCACCAGCTGCTGCCTCCACTCATCCATGCAATGCCTTTGCCTATTTTCCAAGCTTATTTAAGTGCTCAGCTATGAGCACATCTCCCCAAAACACATCCCACCAGCACATGAGAATGGTGCTTATTCAAGCTGATAATCTTTATGAAAATTATGAGAGACAGGAATAGGGCTGGTTTCAAAACTTTGTGCCAGGGCAGCCTTCAGCTGCATGGCTGAAGTTTACAGGAGTTTTGCTTTCAGCCTGGCAGGACTTACATTCTTTTTTTGACCCACTTTCCCCATAAATTAGCAGTTTCTCTGTCTGACAGGTTCAAATTTCATTAAGATAAAAGATGCTGTGTCCCCCTAAGACCAACAGTACAGGTAAAACCCCTTCTCCAGGACATGTGCCAGGTTTATCCAACAAATCTGGTTTATTGACATTTGTCAAAACAATGCAACCATATACAAAAATTTATCTTCTAAAAGTGCCATCTTCATATTAAAAAAGAACCTGTTTGATTTCATTCATAAAAAAATTAAACTTTTCATTTTCACATTTATTAAAACAGCACCACTGGTTTGTACCATGAGGATGCAGGTGATGCCCAGGGCCTGCATCCAGCTTTGTCCCAGGAAAGCTGGTGTGTTGGACACTATGGACTGCTGTGACAGCTCTGCAACAAGGCACACTTCATCTTCCCCCAGTGCCAGGCACCTCTCAGTCACCTACAGGATGGCTACAGCACATTCCTGGGAAAGCAGCAATGCTCAGGAATCCCACAGCAGCCAGGCAGTCCCATCCACACCATGGCTGGCTGTCAGATCCAGTGGGTGCAGCTGGGATGGCACAAAGTCTTAATGAGAACTGGGCTGAGTGGATCACTGGCTGCTCCCAGAGCTCTGGAACAAAATAAAAGGAGACAATTTTACTTCTAACACCAGCAAAGAAAAAGGAATTCAAAGGCTAAATCAAAAATAAAACAATTTTCTAACAGTTTGAAACACGCCATGGCAGAAGAGCACAATAAAGGCAGGTCTCCAGCTCCTAAACCACTTCTGTTTGGGAAGAGTGAGAATTATCTAAAGTCTTATTGTAAGAATGACCCAAGTCTCACTCAACTCTCTTTAGCAAAAAGTGAGATGGGTGGACGTCAATATACAGTTTCTTTGAAAGAGCAGCTATTCCAATCAGTTTTGTATCACATTATGCGCAATTTGCCCATCTGCCTTAGAGATGCCTCCAACAAATCAAACTTGGCAGCAAGGCCATGCTGAGGACAGAGATTTCAGCTAAAAATGGGTTTTGATAGGAAATTGAGAACTAAACCCAAAGGCCAGGCTCTTGTGAGAACAGTCCCTTCTCCTACCTCTGCCTTGGCTGTGCACACCAACATGGGACAGTTCTTGGGGGAAGAGATGAACGAAGGAAAGGAAGCCTTTTACTCACCTCCCTTTCCTCCTGCTGCCCAGGAATGTTATCCTGGCCAGGAATGTTATCCTGCTGCCTGCTTGGAGCCCAGGGCAGGAGGGACCAGGCTGTCCAGCTGCTGCCTGTTCCCCGTCTGAACCAGCCACTCATAGAATTTGTCTTCTACCACAGCCTGGAGCTGTTTCCTCTGATCCCTGAAACAGACACAGCAGCAGGGAAATATGGAAAAATTCACATTTATTCACAGTAGTATACTTCTACCATGCCTTCACTATCCAAACAAGTCTCCAGATGGATCAGGAAGAGCCAGGGTTGGTTCCTGAACCTTGCAGAAAAGGTTATTACTGAGTGGATGTGATGATAATGAACCCCAAAGGCAGAACCTGGTGGAATTGGAGAAGTCATACAAAATTCTCCATCCCACCACCACAACCACCCTGCTCCAGGGCTGCCTCCACTTTCTCCTCAGGGCACAGCTGAAAAACTGTCTGAAAAGGAAGACTAAAATTAACAACCAGTGGTTAAGCAATAAGGACACAAAATTCTGTTCTGACAGCACCAGAGAGGAAGGAGATCAGGAAAAAAAAATGCACCTATAAACAAATCTCACATCATTTTCTGTTTGGGGTGTTTTTGGCAAGCCTAACAGGGTGGGCCACTCAGCTCAGGCTAACTGGCACTGGTCAGATGCCCAAAAGCATCTCCAGAACAGCATCCCAGCCCTCTGGGATCAGCTCACATCTGGAATTTCTCAAGCCAAAGGTGGCACAGGTGTTGAGTAGGTCCTGATGTACTTTTTCAAGCAGTTTACACAATTCATTTCTGAACAGCAATGAACACTTTTCAGTATTCTGGAGATTTTATGTGGGTTTGCTTTGAACCCATTCCTAATTTGATGTGCTGACCCCATTCTGTACTGGGAAAAGCAGGAAACCAGCTCCAGAGGAGACCACAAAGGTGATCAGAGGGATGGAGCATCCCTCCTCTAAGGAAAAGCTGGGAGATTTGGAATTGTTCAGCCTGGAGAAGAGAAACTCCAGGGTGAAATCACTGTGGCCTTCCAGTGCCTAAAGGAGCTACAAGAAACAAGGAGAGAGACTCTGCAAGAGCCTGAAGTGACAGCACAAGGGGGAATGGCTTCTCACTGCCAGAGAGCAGGGTCAGATGAGATACTGGGAAAGAACTGTTCCCTGTGAGGGTGGTGAGGCCCTGGCACAGGGTCCCCAGAGCAGCTGGGGCTGCCCCTGGATCCCTGGAAGTGCTCAAGGTCAGGCTGGACAGGGCTTGGAGCAGCCTGGGATAGTGGAAGGTGTCCCTGCCCATGACAGGAGGGGAATCTGCTTGGTCCCTTCCCTTCCCTTGTTAAGGTCCCTTCCAATTTAGGCCATTCTATTCAGTTTTGTCCCACTCACCCTCAGACAGGCTCCATGTATCCACATCCTTTTTTCAAGTTAAGGCTGCTGTGTGTGTGTTCTCTTCCGTTTGAGCCATTCCCCACAAAGCAGGGTTTTGGAACACAAACTAACCCAAATTCCTCCCCAGTGAACACAAAGGCAGCCACTTCTTTCTTCCCTTGTGGATTTATCTTCTCCAAGAGCTTTTTCTCTACCTTGATCTGCTGCTGACCCTGAAAGACTTTCTGTCTGATACGCTCAGGAAAATGAATAAACAGGATTTTATGCTTTTGCAAGTTGTTCCTCAAGCTGTCTTTTTGGTCCTGTCTTACGGGGGTTTTACTTTCAGCCTGGCAGGATTTACATTCTTTTTTTGCCCCACTTTCCTCAATCAGACAACTTCAACTTCTTGAAAGATGTCTTCTTATTTCTAACACTCTCTTTCACCTCCCCGCTCGAGCACAGCAGCTTTTTTCTTTCTACAAGCCTGATATCCTGTTTGCTCTAAGCCTCCTACTTGTCTCCCTTCTTGTTTCCCTGCCTGCAGGAGACAACAGACATTTTCCACTGTCAGCTGCCCACTTTCTTTTCAACAAGCTTCTAAACTTGCCAGAGTTTCCCCCCTTTTATGGAATAAGCAGCAAGCTCTTGCTTCCTGTGACTGCAGCAGATGATGGCAAATCTAAGCACATCAATCCCTATTTCCTCACATTTCTTTCACAGGAAGGTTCTGACAGGCCAAACTCCTTCCCAAAACTGTGCAGGGAAGCAGCAGAAGCCTGGGAAGAACAACAGATATTTGAAATGGGGTTTTATCCCCATTCTGTGCTTGCCAAGGAAGCTGGGCAGAGGAACTTCAAAGTTACTGCCCAAAGGTGATCTGCTACAATGA